TTTTGGAATCAATCAAAAACAAGATTGGGCTCTGGTTTCAGACAGAGGGTGAAAAGAGGTGCTGCAGCACAGGCAGTATGAGATAAATAAAGAGCTTTTTGAACATTAAAGAATGGAGACATATCCCAGGAAAGACACTACATACTGATATGATCCTGAAAAAGAGCAGAATACGGCCTCTTTAAGCCAGGTGTATTTTGGTGGTGGAAAGTAGTACATTTACTCAACCACAATTTGAGATACTTTACTGAGTATTAAGGTTTTCTGCCCCCCTATTCTTGCACTACATTACTTATTTTGAACCTTTTTAACACTAGATTCATCTGATAGCTTTAGTGACTTTTAAATGTATGATTTTGTAAACAAAACATGATTAGTATTTGGAATATGATCCATTGTTGCAGATTAAAGTGCAGTCTAAGTCCTCATGAATTCTCCTTTACATCTTGCGTTGAGCTCATGACGTTCTGCAACCAGGTCAATGAAAAGTGGTTAGGAGAAAACGTTATGATTTTGCCTTCTGAATTCGACATATGTTCATTTTAGCTGTATGGATGACCTTTTAACGTCCCCAGAAGTTGTGTATCCTGTAACAGGGTCAACATACAATGTGTTTTAATAACTGTATCACAATCTCAGCCTTTGTCTTCCTGTAAAGTGCATAAAAAAAATATGCTGAGGTATTTTAAAAGAGTCAACAGTAACTGTATAATATACTGTGATAAAGGAACACCTGTGAATTCATTATGAAAATACAATGATACAGTATGTGCAGGTTTATAGGAGTATTGTGTGCTGCCTTGGCTTATCTTTCAGTCTTTGATATTTCTACTAGGCTGTTAACACAGACAGCAGCTAATAAAACCACTGTAGGCAGGGAAATAAAGCATTTTATGATCACGGTTAAATTTGATAGTTTGCTTTACATAAAATGGTTTATGTTTTTGGGAACAGATGCTCAGTCAAACACTGTGCTGCTCAGAGATGCAGAGCCCTCGTAGAAAATACTTCATTTACTAACAGGAAACCCTTGACTTTCCTCTATCCCGCAGAATTTTGACTTCCCCCTGCCCAGCCCCCTGCGTGTGTTTGAGATGGTGACGGTGCCGCAGCAGGAGTACCCGCTGGTGTGTATCGGCATCTCTCGGGGGGCCAGCCCCCACCAGCCAGTCAATGTAGAATACATCAACCTCAACTCTAACACATCCTGGTTCACCCACTCTGGCCTGGGTATGTTATATATTACAGTGAAACAAATGATATAAAGGCTTTAGACAAGTAACAAAAAACACACCATGATCTGAATACCAGAGCACGGTCTGTCTGCTTTTAATGAATCCTTTAAATGTCTCTCTTTACCTCAATGTGTTGGCTACCCTTTCATTCTTTCATAATGTTCCAACAGATGTCCTACTCTGGATGAAAATATAAATCTTCCTTCTATTATCATGTTTGTATCCGCTTGTGCATTCTGTGTGTGTTCTTACAGAGAGACCTTGCCCAGATGTAGTCCAAGTGAACCAGTTGAACAGTAGCTCGCTGCTCGTCCTCGTAGCAAGTAAGTCACACATGTTTTTCAGATCCTAACGACACAAAATATCTGTTATAGTAGAGCATATCGTGGTGGTACTGGGTCAACTTTCTGCAGGAGCTTCTTGTTACTTTACCTTGATATACTTATACTAACTGTTTTACTGTTTACATCTCCATGTACATATATCTATTACTTATCATTAATCATAGACAGTTATTACTGTACACCACAAATATATATATTTCGTTTTACTTTATACTCTATATATGTAATATTTCACCCCTATCTCAACTTCTGCACTTCTTTATGTCTTTGATTTTTAGATAGTGATAGCTAATAAGTGTTGAGTATATGACAGCAATAACTTGGAACTTGTATAAATAATCAATAAGAATAAACATATAAAACATAATAATGAAATATAGACATTGTTTATATCTTGATTATATCAAATACCAAAAATGTAATTTTCTTAGTGTTTTTTACAAACTAGGCCTCTGTTGTGAAGACAATAAACAAGGTGATGTTTTTTTTTTCTTTAACAGGCAGACTTAACACAATTTTAGCTTCTCTTTCCCTCTGGGCTAATATTTAAAAGTACTTCCCCAATAGTTCTACAACTGCAACAACACCCTGTGCTGCTCACATGAGAGAGTGTAACTGCACATTACATTCAGTCTATATCCCGCTCCTGTCTTTGCTATTCCCTCACGTGTCCCTCTCCTCCAGAGTCGGTGCACATCGTGGGTCTGGAGGGGGAGCTGAAGAGCAGCAGGCCTCTGACACATGAGACCACCTTCACTCATGAAGTCCAGTCTATAGGTGAGACCTCACAGAGCAGTAACTACACTCACTCTAATACTCAAGTTCAAATTTGATTTTCTTGAGTACTTTTTGGCCTCTTAATACTCTTACTCCACTACATCTCAGAGGTAAATCATTTACTTTTTACTCCACTGAGCTGTAAAATGCATCGTCACGAAGCTGAAAACAGGGCTGTGGACATATGGCAAAGTACATGACATATGACGATCTTAAGGAATATGATGCATTGCTGTAGATTGATCTGTCCTAGGGATAGGTGTTGAATGCAGGACTTTTACTTGTAGAGTATTTCAGTTGTACTTTCACTTCAGTAAAGGACCTAAATACTTCTTCCACCACTGCTGTCCAGTGATGCCTAACCTTTAAAGCTCAGCATTGACATGTGTCTGTCTGTCTGTCTGCTGTCTGTCTCTCAGTGTATTTTGAGGACACTCTGCTGGCAGTGTGGCGTCACGGCTGGCAGAGGAGAGGACAGGGTTTCACTGAGGTGCTAGAGGAGACCACGGACCCCAGGAAGACCTACAGACTGGTGCAGTCAGACAGGTACAGTAGGACTTTACTCAGGGGTATGTTTGATTAGATTTGTAGTTCCTGCAGTGTGGGCTCTTTTGTTATTCTGTTGTATGGCTTTTTTTTGGTACGCCTAGGCGCCTACTAATCAGCTGGGCTGCAGTTTATTACAAACAACTGAAAAATGTCACTTCACACAGCAGGTATAATGTGAATCATGTTCACACTCCTATATTAGCATGCTAACATTTGCTAACTGCTGTTGGAGAAAGTAACAAAAAACATTTAACCTTAGATGTCATTTTGATAGTACTCGTGAGTATTTCCATTATACGCAACTTAATACGGCAATTCATTGCAGAGGGAAATATTGTGCTTTTTAATCCTCTACATGTATGTACTGTATAAGTCACTTTGCATACTCATATAGCTGAGTAGAATTCATGAATAAAAAAATGTGTACAAAATGTCATGGGCATTAATTTAATAGATATTTTAGTCTGGACAAAGTGATGGACTGACTGATATCTGAATATTAGGATATAATCTAGATTTACATCATGCACAGAAACATGTATGTGACTTTATCCTTTCATATATACAAATCGGATTTTAAAGAGTTTATGCAGGTTTACACTAAATTCCTCTGACCTCCCTGACCTCCTCCCTGCAGGATGGTCGTCTTGGAGACGCGTCAGATCGATGACCTGACGGGGATGTCCAACCTGTACGTCCTGGAAATAGCAGAGAACTACGTCATGCTGCCCTGACTCTCCGTCTGCCGGCGAAGGGCATCATGGGAGACTCCAGATTATATGTGAATGTCTCCGCAGGACTCTGATCTGTCATCAGTGACTTTGATGGGCATGGATGTCACAGTGTTTTAATTTCTAATGGGAGGAGAGGAGAGAAGTCAGAAAGAAATGATAGCATGATGTTGCAAGGGTAAGCCAACCCTTACTTAGGCTGATTTCAATATGTGAGATACAGAATTGAGAAAGCTGAGGAAAATAAATGAACAGTGAAGGAAGGTCCTCCAACACTACAGAGGGAGTTCTACTTTCTTCTTCTGCTGCAGCCGCCTGCAGGGACTGAGATACACAACGGCTTCCAGAGGAACTCACACAGGAATAAAGCACTGGAAGGATTCATGATGTGATGTATAACCTGAGTTTGTGTGTCAGTGTTGGATCCATAAAACACACTTCTTACTGCCGTTACTTTGTAATAAAATGAATTAACTTAAGATGAGGTGAACTGTACTGATCTCAGAGCAAAACACAGAAAATAAGGTCCCATTAATGGCAGAGTGTTTATTTCCTTTGTAAGCTGAACACAGATAACTGTGTTAGGGGCCGGTGACATCACAGGGAGGAGCGAATAGTCAAATTAACTATTTATATGGTACATAAAAGTGGCATATTTGGTGATTTGTCAACCAAATTGAGTAATGACAGGCATATTACGATTTTAATCAGCTTTGGAGAAACAAAATATATTTTGTTTTTTGGGAGGACAAAATATTAACAAAATAAAGAATTTTGCTGTTAAATATTTAAACAAAATTAGATAGCTTGGGAGGAATCACTTTCACTGCTTTGTTGTATCTCGGGAAGGGGTAGGCCTATCTTAAAAAAGGAAGAGCTTTCGGGGGTTTGTCACATCTTTGCTTCCTATGTCAACCCACTTAATGTGTGTGCATGTGTTGCAAAGGGACAAACAGGTACATCGTTTCAATTATTCTACTGTTTTGTGCAAATGTACAGTAAACTCATAAACAAATCATTCCATAATAAATTAACAATAAATCATTTTCACACATTTTGAAAATGTGCAGTAGCCTTCCGAAGACACAAAGGCTTTATGGGCTATAGGGTAGTGACTCACTACTAAATATATGTCCATGTTATGCCAGCCTTCTCTATAGCCTGAGCTGCTTCTACGCTGCCTTTTTTAAGTTGGTCCTGTTTGGTGCCACTTTGAGGTTAATTGGCGGATAAATGAAGCAGCTGTGCGGGCCGGTGCCCTCTCTTTACCCCCGACACACCAGGAGGATGCGCAGTGCCGGGCCGGGCCAGCAGCAGCAGCAGCAGCATCGACGCAGCATCACACGTAGCCCACTTCACGCACACTGATGAACGGAGGCAGAGCCCCTGTCGAGGAGGATGCTCTCACCGGCTCAGAAGGGCTTTCTTTCGGGATTTATTTACCAGGCAGCAGCGGTTTGCTCGCCGGTGCTGGTGTAAAATGCACTTGGGCAGAGCGGGAGTGCTGGTCGGCCTAGCTGATTTCAGCCGCTCGTCAAATTTTTCCCCAATTTTATTCTTGTAGGCTACATCTTGATTAAAACGTTATTATTTCCAGGTCAGAATCTCAGTTTCCTGTGCGGCTTGTTTGTACTGAAAATGGCCGGAGATGGCGGCGCTCTGAAGGATATCAATGAGATTAAATCCCAGTTCCGGACCAGAGAGGGCTTCTACAAGCTGCTCACCCTTTCGGACTCGCAGCAGCGGGGCGGGCTGCCGCGGGGTCCCTCAGCCGGAGCCACGCTGGGCCCCGGGGCTGGACCCGGTCTGATACCCGGCGGAGGGGTCGGGCTGCTGCAGGGGCCCGGGGCTGCCGCCGCCTCCTCCTCCAATGCTGCAGCCAACTCCTCTCCAGCGGGCTTCCTGCCTCCGGTCCGGGTCTCCATGGTGAAGCTGCAGCCCGAAGACCCGGGCGAGGAGTCGGAGCGGGTGTGCTTCAACATCGGCAGGGAGCTGTATTTCTACACGTACACCAACATCAAGAAGGTGAGCCTGCTCTCCTCCGCTGTGAGCCCGGATGAGAGGCTGGATGCTCAGGCTTAGCTTAGCATGCTAGTCTGCTCTGCTAATATGATGCTCATTACATTATTGTTTTTAAACCGACGCTTGGCTGCTCGTGCTGCACAGAGGAGGCATCGTGCACATATGAAGTCTCCATTAATGTATGCAATGCGACGTGATAGTGCTTGTGATGAACACAGGGGATGGTGCATGATGCAGACGGTGCAGTGTCAGTGGAGGCTCCAGTGTTACTACACACAGGAAGCTCTGACTTCACTCCCATTCACATGAAGCCATGTGAATCTCTCCACTGCATTCTGAATGTTGTATGTAGGTCTATACATTCAGTGTACTTTATTTTATTCGAGTATTGAGTAAGTATTCATACTTAGACTTCTTAATTATCATCTCAGATACACATTTACAGCCTACTTACTCAACGAATGTGTCTGACAGCTGATTACAGCGGTTCATTCCCTTCCAGGAAAACAAGAAGAATATGTTGCGTTTCTGCAGATTCAACTACCAAACAGTATATATTTACAAAAGTCAAGATAAGCAAAACATCTGCAGCTGTAAAATACAATATACACATTAACACAGCAGTTATATTTATACAAAAATATAATATAATATATTATAATCCTATGTTAGCCTATACTATTATAGTATATGCTAACATAGGATTTTACTGCATATTGAATACTTTTACTTCTCATAGATTAAGTACATTTTGCAAATAGTGCTTTTACTTTTAGTTGATTATTTTTATAGTGTTGTATTAGTACTTTTATCGAATCAAAGGATCTATACACTTCTTCCATCAATGTCCTAATGTTAAAGAGATATACTGTAAGAATATGTAGTTTCCAGCACATGGTTTACTTACACTATTGATGATGTTGCTTTTAAAACTGAAATCCTCTTTATAGCACTCACGCTGCATCACTGAGCTGATACTGTATACTGTTATTCCAAGTTTGTAATCTCCTGCTGCCACCAAAGCTTCAGAGCAATGTCTGAGAGGACTACTCTATACTTCTGAATGCTTGTTCATGCGTTTAGCTTGTAGAAAGTCCTCTTTAAAAATACATGTTATTTGTATAAAGGGTTTGTTTTGTACATCAAAAGCAGAATGCTGAACATCTAAAAGCCTCTGAGCAACAGTTCAATAAGAACAGAAGAAATCAGCAGTCATTGGTGAGAGAAGCTGTTAGCTTAGCATCAACATGTGTGCAGATTTAAATAAGAAAAGCTTTCTGGTCCAGTGTCAAGTGTACAATAATACCTCTACAAGCTGGAATGAACTTCTCTAGCAAAGCTGTTCTTTAAACTTCAACAGAAACAGAATGTTAGTGGATGCACTGTGTGAATATCAGCTGGACATATGACTGACAGATCACAGTTTAAAGCTCTATATTCGAACACTGAGTGCAGAGTTCTTAAAAACAGATTCAGCTCAATAGTATTCTCGATCAATAATTATTTGAGGGTCACTCAATGCTTTTCGGAACTAGGAAACCAATTCTAAATCTTAGTAGCACTAGCATCAGCATCCTCTCCTTTCCTGTAAGATTTTGGGGACATCAACATCATCTATGTGGAAGTTTGAATTATTTGGTTATTTTTCATGTAGGTCCACAACTATTTAAAATATAAATAACATATGTAGACAGCAGGTGATTCCAACCTTGCCAGTTTTGTATTATTTTCAATGTTTTATTATATTAATTTACAAATATAATTTCTGAGGGAGGCAGTCGTATTTTCATTTGTCCTCCAGTTTCTCCTCACGCAGCTTTTCTTTAGCATTGGGCTGAAATTGCTTGCAGCAAGCTGCACCACTTGCTTCCTAATGAGGAATGCTAATAACCTATTTAGGAGGGACTGCGGGACTAATGTAAAAAGCTTCTCCTCTGTAAACGTGACATGGATCCATGAGGGAACATTTTGTATCAGACTACCTTTTTGAAATATCAGAGCTATCTGTTCACTGCGCAGAATGAGTCACACATTTGTAGATTCATCATCATCTATTTTAATCGGTCATAATGAAATAACTCCACAAGTTAGTATCAATAGGCGCTTTCACACCGGAGTACTTTTCCCAGTATAGTTCCGATAGTTCTTGAAATGTTGCGTTCACACCAAAAAAATCCGGAACTAGAACTTAGTTCATGTGAACCTTTTCACCCCCTTTTCAGTCCCTGCTAGAGAGCAGGTACTTTCATGGGAGAAAAAGGTTCCCATTTCTGATTGGCTGGGCGGATTGCAAACCACGCCCCGTAAAACTCGGAAAGGTTTTGTGAAGCCGCCATTGTATTTGCTGGCATTAGCATTATAGAGAACCGCAGTGACGCGTCCTAAAACCCGGAAGTAAACTTCTTCTGGTTCCTTCGACAAAAATGCAATGCAATTTCTCCATAGGATTTTGGAAAATAGCTTGAAATAAGGTCTGTGGTTGACACACATTTAAGAGACAGATCACGTTTTGTTCAGCCGGGTAATCTCCACATGTCTACCCTACTTTTATAATTTTATAATCATAAATCTAATCGATAGATTTATGATTAGAAAATGATGTGTCGGCGTTCTGGCGATTTACTCCCCAACTCCGGGGACTTCTGGCCGGGGTCTTCGGGTGGCAGTATACGCCGTGAAGTTGTTTGCGGCCTGCCAGAAGAAGTGACGTCAGTGGCTTCATTTGCCTAATCCTCCCTCAGGGACTTATTCCGGTGTGAACGCGATCTGCTCTTTAGTTCATCAGAACTAAAGAGTTCTGATGAACTAAGTACTGGGAACTAAGTACGGCAAAGTACTTGGTGTGAAAGCGCCTAATGAATTTTGTGTCTCTATGACTGATGCACATACAGTATGTGTAGAAGGCTAATTTCCGTAAATTAAATGCAGACACAATCACATGCAACAGACTGAAGATATGTCCATCAGTTTTCTGTACATTCTGCATTCAGGCAGCACAACATGTGGTTTGTACTCCACATGCTCAAAATTCACGGGTTCACATCTCCAGCACATTTAAACATAATCAGCAGAGTGATACTGATATGTTTCCCTCTCCTGATACTAACTCTGATACCTGAACTCAAGCTATATGCTGACACTCAGTAGAGATCCGATATCTGCCATGTAGTAGTAAGAGGTGGTGGAATATATCACATTTACTCAAGTACACATTTGAGGTATTTCTATTGTATGAAACTTAATATTTCTACTCCCCTACATCTCTGAGGCAAATATTGTACTTTCTACTCGACTACTTTAGTCTGACTGCTTTAGTTGCATTTCAGACTACAATCGTATCTCCAGTCTAAATGATGTGTTTTGAAATATTTGAATGCCTTGGTTCTGTTGAAAGGTTTATTCCAGATATACAATTAAACGCATCCTTAATATGGACAATAGTTTGATAATTGTATATATTGGAGACAGGTGGTGGTGGTGGGAGCCAGAGCACTAGTAGGCAAACGGTTTTTTACCAGGGTTTTCCAGCCACAAGAACGGAAAGCCATAGGAAAGGCTTTAAGGAACAAACCATAGGAAACGTGTTGAATGGTATTGGATCATAATAAAATGCACAACGGAGATTCTTGTCTGGACCTGGATCATTGCCCTGCGTAAGATCTGCTAACTAGTGCCTCAGCGGCTGTAGTATTTTAAGTTAATTATCTGTTTTATTTCTATATGATTTCGGCCGCTACACTGATGTTTACCACTGAAAAATGTTATTCCTATCAAACTGCTGCCATGGAAATATCTCAATGTGACTTTTCTGCATCTACGCTTGGCGATCATCTGTCAAATACCAATTACCAAATGATAAATGAGCCCAGAAATGTAACATACACTTGTAGCAGATGTTTGTACCTTTTTTGTAACTGGATTATTGCTTTCAAGTGAATCCTACGTATCATAAGAACCTCCTTTACGGTCCTCTGAATGTCCCTGAAACTCAGGTTCCCTCTTCTCGGCTGATGTTTTGCTTGTGCATCACAGTTGTCTTTCCTTATCCGCAGGCTGTAGACCTCAGTAAGCCGATAGACAAGAGGATCTACAAGGGGACCCAGCCAACATGTCATGACTTCAACCAGTACTCTGCCACAGCGGAGAGTGTAGCTCTCATAGTGGGTTTCTCAGCTGGACAGGTCCAGTATCTCGACCCCATCAAGAAGGAAACCAGTAAACTCTTCAATGAGGAGGTATTGTGTGTGTCTGCTCTCCTCTGTGTTGTTCAGTAACATGGGTTCTCATGTGGTGTGATTGAAGAAGTCAGAAGTAATTTGACATTTTCGTATCCATTTCTTTGGATGGTTTGGCTTAGCCTAGATGTCTTCAGCTATTTATTTTTCTGTGACTCCTGAACTGCCTTCTTCTGATCGGTGGTCTTCTTCGAGTCCCCCAATAAAATGATAAAATGTAGGAGATTGGGGTTGTACAAGAACATAACTGCATGCAGGTAGACTTTATGTTTGGGCGCCTCCGGATTCTGATCACCTCAGGGGGATTCGCCTTTTAATTCTTTCCTCATTCTCTGTTGGTTTCGGTCTATGTCTACTGTAGCTTGTTTCTTGATCTCTACAGACCTTTTAGTTCTTCCCATGCTTCCTTTCTACGTTTTCTTCTCTCAATAGTTCATACTTAGTTTTCTTAGATGAGTGTCCATATAAAAGCTCAATTCAATCTTAGTCATTTTAACCTATGTTTTACTCTTCTCTTCTTATTCCTCCCCTCTTTCATCTCCTCTTCCATTTTTATTTTTATTTCCAATTTTTAAAAAAATCTCCCGTCCCTCACTCCTCGGTCCACCTCCTTCCATTCACAGAGGTTGATAGACAAATCCAAGGTGACGTGTCTAAAATGGCTTCCCAAGTCGGAGAACCTGTTCCTGGCCTCCCATGCCAGTGGCCACCTCTACCTCTACAACGTGGACCACCCGTGTGGCACCACAGCCCCACAGTACTCTCTCCTGCGGCAGGGAGAAGGCTTCGCCGTCTACGCCTGCAAAACAAAGACGCCTCGCAACCCGTTGTTACGATGGGCTGTGGGTGACGGAGGCCTCAACGAGTTCGCTTTCTCCCCAGATGGAGTGCATGTGGCGTGCGTGGGCCAGGACGGCTGCCTGCGTGTCTTTCACTTTGACTCAATGGAGCTGCAGGGGGTGATGAAGAGCTACTTCGGAGGGCTGCTGTGCGTGTCATGGAGCCCCGATGGAAAATACCTTGCCACGGGCGGAGAGGATGACCTGGTTACCGTTTGGTCATTTGCAGAAAGCCGTGTGGTTGCAAGAGGTCACGGCCACAAGTCCTGGGTCAATGTGGTGGCTTTTGATCCCTTCACGACTTCCTTGGAAGATGAGGAGCCTATGGAGCTCAGTGGCAGCGAGGAGGACCTCCACCAAGGGCCACCGAACAACTCCATGCACTTTGGCCGTGTCCGAACAAGTAGCACGTTGTCGCGTCTGTCTCGGCACAGCTCTAAAGGAGGCGGTTCGGCATCCGTCACATACCGGTTTGGCTCGGTGGGGCAGGACACCCAGTTCTGTCTGTGGGACTTGACAGATGACGTGTTGTACCCACGCCTGCCACTGTCCCGCGCCTTTACTAACACTTTTGGGCCTTCACTGTCCAACTCTGGCAGTGGGGTGGTCAACAGTACCTCAAGTGGGGGAGGGGATGGAACAGTTGAAGGGCACCATCATCCGCCCAACACTAACACTGGCACCACAAACCCTCCAACGCTCCCCTTACCGCTTCCTCGCTCCCTTTCCCGCTCCAACTCTTTGCCCCACCCCGCCGTGGCAAATGTCGCCAAGGGCCCGGGCGCCTCGGAGGGCGGCGGGGGAACCGGAGGAGGTGGAGGGAGCAGTGGAGGAGGAAACACCACCCCATTTAGCATTGGCCGTTTCGCCACACTTTCACTCCAGGAGCGCAAGTCAGACAAGTCTGGTTGCAGCAGTGGGGTGGAGAAGGAGCACAAGAGGTACCACAGCTTAGGCAACATCAGCAAAAGCAACGATAAGATCAACGTGGCGCCCAGGAGCAACCGGCTGGATGCTGCCAAGGTCCTCGGCACAACGCTGTGCCCACGCATGCATGAGGTGCCGCTGCTGGAGCCACTGGTGTGCAAGAAGATTGCACATGAGAGGCTGACCGTCCTGGTGTTCATGGACGACTGCATCATCACCGCCTGCCAGGAGGGGCTCATCTGCACCTGGGCGCGGCCGGGGAAGGCGGTAAGTCTTCAATGAACTATTTCCTTAGAAAACTAAGAGCCCGTCTCCACATAGCGCCTTTCTCTAGCTTTTTTATTGTTTCTATGACAACGATATATCAATAACGTATCGCTGTTGTAACAACATACTCAGGCTTTGAGGTTTTTGTTATGGTAGTTTTCGTCTGACGGACACGTTAAAAAAAAAAGTTTATTTTATCCAATTTCAACAGTGACGTCATTTTTCTGAAGAGTTGAAATATTTGTAACTCGAATGCTATGTGCTGTGCCTTTTCGGGAGGCCGCCTCCTTCGACGGCATGCAGTCGTTTCTCATTGGGATTATTTGAGAAAAGACACTGGTGCTCAGATGATGGTGCTATGTGGACACTGGCCCTAATGGTATTATGGTGTTGTATATGTGTATGTATATATATACATTTCTTCTTTTAACTCATAGAGTCGGATTTAGTTCCTTTCAATATCTCCAGCCTCCAGTTTTTTTATTATTTAACTCTAAAGATTTACTTTTGATTGTCTCTAGTACCTAACTGTCCTTTGTGTTTTGTCTCTCTGATCAGAACTTGACAGCACAGAACGGGAACTCTCCGAGTGGCACGGTGGTATAGCTGAAGGAGAAGCTTTGCACTCATCCCTACCTCCATCCACCCTCTCCACTGTAATCAAATATATCAAATTAGGGGCCAATAACAAGCGGCCATTCCCTACCCCACCACAGTATTATATCATAAGCCTCTGTACCTGCCACAGATCCTGTTCCTTACTGATTTCACTCTCACTGCGGACGGTTTGGTGGGAAACACTTCCTGAATTATTTAACTAACATTACTTCAAGTGCTTAAATATAGTAAAGCTGCGAGATAGCATCTAGTTAGCCTTAGTAAGACTCGGTTCTGGTAATGTGGAAACGCCTTTGATCTGGGTTTTTATTATTTGGTTGTGGTCTCTTAGTTCCAGTAAAGAGAGGTCGAAATACTATTGCAAACAATTATACTGTAGGCGACGGTGTACTTTCAACCTCCTTGAGTGGGGTTTCCTGTTTGCATGACAAAGCTAGCTCTCTCTCGTTCCCAGTTTGGGGTGAAAATAACTTGATTGACCTACACAGGACCCTGACCTATACCCTATCCAACACCTTTGGAATAAACTAGATCACTGGCTGTGAGCCAGACTTTAGGACTGTATCACCTTGTTAATGCTCTTGCTGCTGAACAGAAGGAGTATCTAAACATAATTAATATATCCAGATTAAACAGTGGAGCCATTCTTTAGCGGAAGTATACAACTCAAAGGAAAACTAGAGTTGTTTTGATCAGTCAGTTTCACTCGTTAATAGTTAGCAAAGTATCACTTGTCGGTGTTCTGACCATCATGTTATGTTTTTTTAGCAGCACTAAACAATTGTTGTCAGACATTTGATATATTGCTTCAGGGAGAGTTTCCCACCTTGTGCTACTGTGGATCTTTAAGTTTATTCCCCGTGCTTCAGCCCTCTGCCTGCATCTAACACACAGAGATGGTTTCTCCTTCCTGTCAGCAGCATCACAGTGAGCAGCAGAGTGAGTCTTCATTCGTCCTTCATCCATGAGAAGCCACGGCCATTGTATTTAAGTGATTTATTTTATCACAAGACTGTGTAGTTATTTATAATGTAAATATTGGAAACTCTATAAATACAAAAAGGACAAACGTGTATGGAAATAATGACTTGACAGCACGGAAGAAAAACACGGAAAGATGAAGAATATTATAATATATGAAGATCCTTCTATTGTACATAGCAACCACACTTAAAAAATGAATGTCTGCTGAAAGGGAACTTGAATATGTCAATGTGTTTTTATTTTGTGTGATAAGAGTTTCTCCGGTGTGTCCCTGAAAGCGAGGTGGTGGAAGCAGTGGGTCATGTGACTTCATACAGAGGCTGCTAGCTGTAACAAACTGTCCATATGATATACTAACTCTGCTGAACATCATGTGTGGAGGAACAGCATCTTAATGAATTATGAACACAGGTCTCTCTTGCAAATGAGACCTTGTGTCTCAATGAGATTTTACACCTGTATAAATAAAGGCTAAATAAAAAAATAAAAATGAACAAACACACGCTTGCACATACTGGAAGTAAAATGGCTCACACACACACTCACATGCACACTCACACACACACACATCCCTTATGGTGTAGCATCATATGTATCTTGGTTCCTGTTGCAACTAAATTGCCTCTTGCAGGAATTTGCACATACAATAAATCCACAGTCCATGCTGAGCTCCTGATTAGCTATGCAGGGGTTTTATTGTCTCGTCTGATCTGACCTGTGCACAAAAAGCTCCCATATCCCCACTATTCACCGGATGTTTTTGGTGCAGACTAAATAGTGTTCATCTTCGAGATCAAGATTGGATTTGTTTTTCTTTGCTGTTTTTATTCTGCTTAGAGTTGGACGTGCAAAGATAAGATGATGTTGAGGCATTATTGACAGGGGACATTACAATCTCTATGAGGCAGACCTCCTGCCTGATTATGAGCCTGAATGTCCATCTAACTTCATTATTCAATCAGACATTTTATTATCAAGTCAACTGTTTCCTGATTAAGAAGTGTTATTATTTGCTCCCAACCAAACCTAAGCTACAGTGGTGGCTGATGGGAGACTGGTGAATGCATTTAGCATATTTTTCAATTCAAGAGGTTTTTAGCCATGTTGGTGCAAGGAATGGTCATATTTGTATGTTTGTTATGTTGTTCCATATGTTGTCTCCATCCGGTAGAAATGAGACTTCAATATTTTGGTTTATGACCAAATACCTGTAAAACTCATGACATCCCCATCAGTCTCAGCATCCTAACATGCTATATTACATTACATTACATTTAGCTGACGCTTTTATCCAAAGCGACTTACAATGACCAATTACAGGGACATTCTCCCTGGAGTAACTAAGGACTAAGTGCCTTACTCAAGGGCACACTAGTGGTGGTGTTCCTGGCGGGATTTAAACTCACAATCTTGCGATCTTCAGCTCACCTCACTATCCATTAGACCACCACTATCCCCTATACGAAGATCATGAACATTGTAAACATTAGCCTTCTAGCATTGTCACTCTAAGCATGTTAGCATGCTAATTTTTGCATTCAGTTCAAAGTACTGAACTGAGTGCAGTCTCACAGAGCCACTAATGACTGTAGAGATGTTGTCTAGTCTCCATTCGTTGTTCTTGCTCAAAACAGGGAAACAGCATTCAATGAGAGCGACATCAGATCTTCTGTCCCTGAAAAAATAAAGCAGTGAATAACTAGAAGGAATCTCTGAGAGTGCAGACCCCTGCCAAGTGTAAATAATCTTTAAGCATTAAGTTAACAAGAGGAATAAAACATTTGTGTATACGCCAAATGATTTAGATCCGCTCTGAAATGTAATGGGTTTTTATGTGAACCATGCCACAAAGTTTCACCAAGTTTCAGAAATTCGCGCCTGTATTTATTTTCTTAACCCCACTGACAAACAAACCAAATCCAAAAAACACAACCTCGTTGAAACAGGCTTCCTCCTGCACGAGATCATTTCTATTTCACTGAATCTGACTGTCTTTTTCCGCAATATTGTAAACATGTTGAATAGTAATGGCACTGCAGGACCAAATGTTTCCCGGAATCGTCAAATCAGAACATGTCAAATGACGAAAAACAGTTACTGATTGGAACCTTGAATTCTGAAGCAGTTGATGCTTTGCTGATGAACACAACTTCAACCTCCAAATATTTCTGTCCTCTTCTCACCCCTCAGACAGAGAGACACATCTGTGGGGGTTTTTCTGAGGATATGTCTGCATTTAGGGCCCACAAACAATTAGTAAATGTATTATCTCTCAATGTCGATTCAAAGCACACAGTGCAACGAGCCGGTAGCATTTTTATCAGCCTTTTGTGTTCTATGGAGTTACCTACCTAACAATAAATACTATAAATAGCAGCGTGACCTCCAGCCCTGCAGGAGCCAAGGTCATGCCCTTGTAGCAGCAGACCAACCACCAGGTTTCCTCGTGCTGTGTTGGAGCCAGTGTCAGGGTATTATTACAGCCCATACATACTCATCTTTGTTGTCATAGCAACAGCATGTCTGCTGCTGAGTGTGTCTCCAATGAGCTCATGTGCTTCGGGTCAATCTCAGCTTTAACGCCAAATAAATGCTTCATCACGATGGAAGTTAAATCCCTTAAGGGAATAATTCCCCCCCAAACATTAACCTTCTCTCAAATATTAAAGTATGTGCAGCTTAATGAAATCAATGTATAGTCATGTGTGAGAACAGCTGTTTGATGTTTAGGCCCTGCTCACACTTTTAAAATACATTCTGATCACAAGTTCACTGGGAAATATCGGTATGAATGCTCCCTGATTTAATGCCCCCAGTCACATCCACAGGTGATACGAGACAGCAAACATTTTTAATGTTGACTCCAAAATAAATGGGTGATGCCATTCCTTATTGGTACCATTCTAAAGCTGCTCTCACATGATAGGAAGTTCTCTTCAATGACCATACAGAGGGGAGCAGAGAAAAATTCAAACATCAAAAGGGTCCACGTTGCTTCCTGCTTTTCTATTTCTTTAAAGTAACTCAATTGTGTGCATCATTGTCAAGGAAAACCTGATTTATCGTTATCCTTATTATCTGAGCCCCAGACACTGAAGGTAACAGAGTTTACAGAGCAGTACATGGAAGGTGGTATTAAGCTGAAACATTGGGAATGTCTAAAGAGGACTGTGTGCAGTTCAAATACTCACAAAAGCTGTGATCACAGGAGTTAAAACCATCATTCAGTACAAAGGAACAAAAAATCCACATGTTACATTTTTTGTGACATTCCAGGCTGAAACAAGACACTTTATTTGAGTTTTTGTCATTTATTTCTGTGTGTGTGTGTAAAATATACATTCTCTATTATCACCATACAGATATCACACACACGCACACACACACACACACTTTACGGCTGTTCTGGTGGAAGTTATACAGCAGACTGGCTTCAATGTATCCAGTTTGTATATGGAGATCTGTTATTAAAACGTTAAACCTGAAACACTCTGTGTTGTGTGATACATTGCACCATGACATTCAATATCAGTTATTAACTGCGGTCAAGCCCGCCTCCACTTCGGAAAACACAGTCAAGCCAGCCCGCACGTTGTATTGCGGTGCGCGAATATCCTGCATTACGGTAGAGGCCTGGAAAAACTGGCTTCAAAATAAATGCGCTTACTCGGTAAATAACAAATACCTAAAAAACATACCAAACATATTCATATTATATACTGGAGCTTAAATTAAGAAATATGTACTATAAAATGTGATCAATAATTATTTAAAACAAACTACGTATAACTACCACATTATAACTGAGTGAATGTAAAATTTAAGGAGTTTCAAAATAAAATACTTTGGAAATCTCATATATGGACTATCGTCCATCTGTTTTTAGTTAAGAATAAAACAAAAACTGTCAATTATCAAAGATTTATTTCACTCCAGGGTGATAGCAGCACACCAACTAGTCACTTAGACTAGAGAATATCAGGATAATCTGATGTGGAGTTTCAAAATAAAAGACCTTTGAAGTCTCATAGGCTATATGAGCTATCATCCCTCCGTTTTTAGATAAGAATAAAACAAAAACTCTCCAGTATCAAAGATTTATTTCACTTCAGGGTGATAGCAGGACACCCCATCTAGTCACTCAGAGAATATCAGGATAATCTGATGTAGAGTTTCAAAATAAAAGACCTTTGACGTCTCATATATGAGCTATCGTCCCGCTGTTTTTAGATAAGAATAAAACAAAAACTCTCCAGTATCAAAGACTAATATCCAGTGGTGACTGGTCATTAGGGGCAGGTGGGGCACAGCCCCACCTAGTGTCAGCAGAAAGTATTACAAATAATGATTACAAAAAATGCAAAAAAAAAATATATATAAAATATATTTTAAGATCATGTTTAATCATCTGATTCGTCTGTACATTGCTGTTTTAGTCTGTGTTCTTCTAATTAGTGTGTCTACAGTCACAGTGTGTGCCTATTGAGCTGTTTAGAGCCATGTGGGACAAAACCTGATCATGCCCCTCCCTCTCGCTGTGAAGTGAACGGTGACTGTAAAAACTACACTGCGCATGCTCAGAGTATTTTCCTATTTAATGTGAGTGGCAAAAAAATAATGACCATAGGGGCACTGAGCTGCCATCCCCACCATACGTCATCTCACATCATTCAGAGCTGATTGGCTGTAAGTACGTGTGCCGCGAAAAGTGTGGTGTGTGAAGAGGAGACGAGAGAGCTGCAGTGACGCGTCCTAAAACCAGGAAGTAAGCTGCGCTTGGCTTCCCTCGACAAAAAAGCAATGAGGTTTCTCCATAGGATTTTAGAAAATAGCTCGAAATAAGATCTGTGGGAAACGTACCTGTTAGATAAATGCACGTTTTGTTCAGCCGGATAACATCCACAACGTTGGAGCAAGCTTCAACGCACGCCGCTGTGTGGACGGGCCGTAAGCATACAACCCAGTCTCACGGCATTTCGTGTTATAGTCACGTTATTTAATCTATTGATTCGTGTGCACCACCACGATTATCCCCTTATTTTCGTGTCACACAGAACGATTTTAAAAGCAATGTATTTCTATTGGTAATGTGTTTCGTGCCTGCAACACGTCTTTTTCTCGGTCTGGTCGTGGAAGACCGGAAGCTGTGTGGTTCATAAAAACATGTTCTTACTCAATATCAAGCCACGATTATTGCTTTTATTTAAAATCGTATCATTTCGGACTTTTGTTGCCGTCTGTGAGGAAAAGAAATGGGGCTCAGAGCCTCAGGATACTGAAATCTGTATTTTTTAAATCTTTTTTTCCTTCTAATTTGTTATTCTTTTCAAAATAACACACTGTTATTTACTCAACAATAACACACAATTATCCGTGTTTTTATTTATTGGTTTAATTCGATAATCTCGGGCTATTTTGACGTCCGTCAGGAACTGAATTTCAAAATAAAGTCAACACGTCTTTTTCTCGGTCTGGTCGTGGAAGACCGGAAGCTGTGTGGTTCATAAAAACATGTTCTTACTCAATATCAAGCCACGATTATTGCTTTTATTTAAAATCGTATCATTTCGGACTTTTGTTGCCGTCTGTGAGGAAATAAAATGGGGCTCAGAGCCTCAGGATACTGAAATCTGTATTTTTAAAATCTTTTTTTCCTTCTAATTTGTTATTTTTTTTTAAATAACACACTGTTATTTACTCAACAATAACACACAATTATCCTTGTTTTTATTTATTGGTTTAATTCGATAATCTCGGGCTTTTTTTACGTCTGTCAGGAACTGAATTTCAAAATAAAGTCCGAAACAATACCAGAAACAGATTTAGGACTTTTCAATAATCCTCAGCGGTGATTGGATGTTTTAGCCGCAATGCACGTAGGGATATGGTGTTTATGCACACGTTTCTTTCGTGTCAGAAAGCACGATTTTCAAAGTAATGCATTTTAAGTGGAAGAATTGTTCGTGTCTCCTCTTCGTGTCTCGGGAAGCCGGAAGCTGTATTATTTTCTAATGTTTATTTTTTTTAACCATAACGGGTACTTTACACAACATTGAGTCAAACTTATCCTTGTTTTAATCCTTGTTTTATTTATGTTAAATTCTTGTTGTCGGTTAATTTTCCATTTTATTTATTAAGGTTTAAGATATCATTAGTCTTTTATTTTATTATTATCATGCTTGGTGTTTACACTTTTCTGCATTTTATAAGGCAATATATACTTTTTTGTTTTTGTCTGTAGGCTACTTAGGTTATTAAATAGTTATTGTGTCAAAATATAGGAAATGTATTAATATTTTATTGTATAATCGGTACAGGAAATGACATAATTCAGAGCACCACCACCGGTCCGGCATTGCTATCCATCCTCTGACAAAGTAAGTTGTGTCACTAAAGTCTGATGCATGACTTAATAATTGGGGCTTTTTTTTAAGCCTTTTCTCGCATAGTTCATCATACATAATGAACTGTTCTAAGTCTGAGAAATGCTTTCGCCATTATCAGCAAAGCAACATTAATGTGAAATTATTCTTGCGGGCGCCTAGCTAGCTAGCTCACGTTCAACATAAGCTTAATCTAGTTTAGCTACATTTATATCAGCTCATAAGTGGTGTGTGTAAAATATTTGTCTTAATTACGGCTACATACTTCGGTGTTAAAGTGTGAGTTATACGTTATCTTAATCGCTTTTGTTTTACACATGACAGTACTAACGCTGCCGAGTGGACATTTAACATATGTTTGGGGGGAGGGGCATAGTCCATGTGCTTGTTCCGCGTCTGAAACAGGAAACACGTACATGAACTCACTCAGTCTGTCTAAAGTAGTTAAACCGTCACAATGTGCATTTAAAAAAGCTAGTTTCACTACATAATTCACTTTTTCTGTTCTCTCCTGCAGCTCCTGTACCCACACCACAAACCCATACACTGATCTACACCATCATAAAACCAACGGCACTTTTAAGAGCAAAACTCAACCTATCTCTCTGTCTATCTACCTAGCTTTCTTATAGTTATTGTCTCTATCTTTTTCTATCATTCATTATCTATTTCTTCATCTATCTATCTCAATCTTACAATCTGTCTCACTATCTCTGTCTGTCTCATACAGCAGCTGTTTGTTTGCATATCAGTTGTGTCTGTCTGTCTGTCTGGCTGGCTGGCTGGCTGGCTGGCTGGCTGTGTTGCAATGGCAACAAAACACAACCCAGACCCCAATAATCCCACATCCAAAGAAGGGAAACGCATGGCTCTTGAGCTGAAGTATGAACACATGCTAGCTGAAGCTAAGGTTGGTGTTTTAATCCATATGATCTCATTCATTTCCTACTTGAATGTGGCACTATCTCTTATCCAAAAAATGCTGAACAGGCCAAGAGTAACTGGATTTTGGATCAATGTATAGGGCCTTTGCAAAACAGTTCATCATTACAACATGGGGGGCAGAGGCTTACTAAATAAAGCTTGTTCAACTTGTTTTACTTCATTAGTTGGATATGGTAGGAAAAACTTGAAGCAAAAATGTTCTTCAAGTGAATGAATTTCCTTTTATTTGTCCACTGTCATATGGTATCAGTTTATCAGCAACATCAACCTTACATGAGTTGTTACTTGGTCACAGAAAGCAGCTGAGGAGAGGAAACGGGCACGCTCTGTAGGAGACACTTTACAGTCCCCTAAAAGGCGCTGTGTAGGACGTGGCAAGCCGAGAGGGAGGCGTGGAGGGCGACGCCAAGGCTCAGCTACAGGTTGAAATCCCAATTATTTTACATTTTTATGAATTTACTAAGTAAATGGTTGGAAAATCTAATTAAAACGCAGTAATTGCTTGTTGAGGGTCTACAATAATTCCAATATATAAACGCATAGTGACACTCCAGTCGGAGACATTCCCACTGTGGTGTCATAAGAACTATGCTTTATTTAATTTCACAAGCTTTTAAACAATAGGTAGATAATACAAATCATCAGTTATCTGTTGTTAACCCTCTGTGTGATGTTTTACAGTCACATCCTCCCCGACTGAGGGCTTCCAGTCATCCAGTGTGGAGGTTCTGCGTACTGAACCTTCAGCACAACATGAATTTGGTAAATCACAAAAATGGCTTTAAGTTTAAAACTAAAATCAATTTTTAAATAAATTGTGTTAGTGAGAGAAAATAACCTTATACACAACTGACAGTTCAGGACTCGAACGAGGAATAATTCAGTAAAGATATTGGCCAGTTCCATACTGAGCAAAGAAATGATCCTTGATTTTTAGTGTTCATCTTAAATATAGTCATTTACAGTTAAAGTTTCCCATTCTGTTCACAGAAAAGAATATGGAGAGACTCTCTGACATTCTTTCCTCATGTCCTCCTCCTGAGCCTCAAAGAAGCTCTGCCTCATCCTGGTCTTTTCGGCAGCAGAAAGCCTCAGAGCGCTGGAAAGAAGCGAGACCACACCACCTACAATGCCTTCTAGAAAAAGAGGCTGTTGGTCA